ATAACAAAATGTCTTTGGTTCAGTTTCGAAAATTGGCTGAAATTTTCTAAAAGGTTTTATTTTGAAAAAGTTGTCAAAAAAATACAAAAAAAAATCGGGGATGTAGATTTCGACGTGCTGATTCGAAAATATAGTGTGTATACGAGTAAAAATTTTACGGTTTGAAAACCATTTTTTTTAAATCCAAAAAATTGCAATAATCGAATGGGTGATTTTGGAAAAATTCTGGAAGGCCAAAACTAACTTCTAGAACTTGGAAACTTTAATAACATGTCTGTAGCAAAGTTTCGAAAACGGTCGAAAATTTTCATAGAGCGATTTTGGAAAAATTTTGCTTTTGATAAAACTGATTAAAAAAAATCCCAAAAAATTCATGCATATAGATTTCGACTTGTTCATTCCAAAAATTTAGTGTGTTTATGGTCCGGGGGCAACATTTTCGAAATATTCGGTTTGAAAATGGATTTTTTTAAAAATCCAAAAAATTGTAATCTACTGGGCAATTCTGGAAAAACGGTAGGAGTTATCGAAGAAAAGAGGGCGAAATTAACTTCTATAGGTAGAAATCTAAAAGAAAATGTCTTTGGTTGGAAACTGTAACAAAATGCCAAGTTTCGAAAATGCTCGAAAATTTGTCGAAATTTTCATATTTAAAAATTTTTCTTTTGAAAAAGTTGTCAAAAAAAATCCGAAAAAAATCAGGGATAGAGATTTGACGTGCTGATTCCAAAAATATAGCTTGTGTGGGGGTAAAAATTAATTTGAGAAGTATTCGGTTTGAAAACCAATTAAGTTGACAAAAAATTCGTCAAAAATTCAGGGGTATAGATTTCAACGTCCCAGGGCAAGATTTTAGAAATATTCCATTTGAAAATCTTTTTTTTTTTAAATTCAGACAATCCCAATATTCCAATAGACGATTCTGAAAGAGTAGTAGGAGTTATCAAAAAAAAATTGTAACTTCTATAAGTCGAAATCTATAACAAAATGTCTTTGCTTCAGTTCGAAAATTGGACGAAATTTTCCAAAAAATGTTGCTTTTTGGTACTCCTAGAAGTCATCGACGAATTAATGCCGAAATTAATTTCTGCAGGTCGAAATCTCTCCAGACTGATAGAAAAGGATATACCAGGATATAGACAGATATAGAAGAATGTAATGGGATATAGAAGGATATATACCAATTTAGAAGGATATATAGAAGGAAATAAAGGAATACAGAAAAGATTTAGAATGATAAAGAAGGGTACAGACAGATATTAGAAATACATAGAAGGATATAGATTAATATAGAAAACTATTTTGGAATGAACGATTCTGGAAAAATTGTAGGAGTTATCGAAGAAATGAGATCGAAAGTTACTTCCGTAGGTGGAAATCGATAAGAAAATGTCTTTTGTCACATTTGGAAAATGGTGGAAAATTGTCCGAAATTTTCATATTGAAAAGTTTTTCTTTTGAAAAAGTTGTCAAAAGAGATCTAAAAATTCTAAAAATATACATGTTTATGGTGAAAAATTTCTGAAGTAGGATTGGGTTTAACAATCAATTTTTTTTTAAATGAAAAAAATTGCAATAGTCCAATGGGTGATTTTGGAGAAAATGTCTGTCGTTATGTTTCGAAAATGGACGGAAAATTTGCTACAGTTTCCATTGAGAAAAATTTTGATTTTGAAAAAATTGACAAAAAATTCCTCAAAAATTCAGGGATATAAATTTCAGCATACTGATTGCAAAAATATACCGTGTTTATTGTCCCAGGGCAAGATTTTAGAAATATGCGTTTTGAAAATCAATTTGTTTTTAAATCCAAAAAAACGCAATAGTCCAATGGCGGATTTTGGAAAAATAGTAGGAGTTATCGAAAAAATTTTGTCGCATCTAACTTGTTTAAGTCGTAATCTATAGCCAAATGTCTTTGGTTCAGTTTCGAAAATCGGCTGAAATGTTCCCCAAAATTTTGAATTTGAAAAAATTGTCAGAAAAATACCAAAAAAATCAGGGATAGAGATTTCGACGTGCTGATTCCAAAAATATGTGTACATGTTTACGGTGAAAAATTTTAGAGGAATTTGGTTTGAAAATAATTTTTTTTAATGCAAAAAATTGAAATTATCCAAGGGGTGATTTTGGAAAAATGGTGAAGTTATCGACGAAATAAGGCCGAAACTAACTTCTGCATATCGAAATCTGTAAGAAAATGTCTTTCGTTAAGTTTCGAAAATGGACGGAAATTGGCCAAAGTTTTCATGAAGTAGGGTTCAGAAAAATTTTGATTTTGAAAAAGTTGACAAAAAAATCCTCAAAAATTCCGCGGTATAGATTTCAACGTACTGTGTCCAATAATATAGCGTGTTTATCGCCCTAGGGCAAGATTTTAGAAATATTCGTTTTGAAAATATTTTTTTTTTAAATCCAGAAAATCGCAATATTCCAGTGGGCGATTCTGGAAAAGTGGTAGAAAGTATTTCGGTTGAAACTAACTTCTGTGGGTTCAAATCTATAACATGTCTTTGGTTTAGTTTCGAAAATTGGTTGAAATTTTCTAAATTTTTTATTTAAACTTGTCAAAAAAATACAAAAAAAATCGGGTATGTAGATTTCGACGTGCTGATTCGAAAATATAGTGTGTATACGAGTAAAAATTTTAGAAGCATTCGGTTTGAAAACCAATTTTTTTTAAATCCAAAAAATTGCAATAATCCAATGGGTGAAAATTCTGAAAAATGGTAGAAGTTATCCACGAAATAAGGCTGAAACTAACTTCAACAGGTCGAAATTTATAAAGAAAGAAATCTTTCGTTAAGTTTCGAAAATGGACGGAAAATTCGCCAAAGTTTTCGTAGAGTTCAGAAAAATTTTGATTTTGAAAAAGTTGACAAAAAATTCCTCAAAAATTGAAGGGTGTAGAAAAAATTTTAGAACTATTCGATTTGAAAATCAATTTTTTTTAAATCCAGAAAATCGCAATATTCCAATGGGCGATTCTGGAAAACTGGTCGGAGTTATGGAAGAAATTTGGTTGAAAATAACTTCCATAAGTTGAAATCCATAAGAAAATGTTTTCGGTTCAGTTTCGAAAATTGGCCGAAATTCCCCAAACATTTTTTTTTTTTGAAAAAGCTGTCAAAAAAAAACAAAAAATCTGTGATAGACATTTCGACGTGCTGCTTCCAAAAATATACTATTTTACGGCGAAAAATTTCAGAAATATTCGGTTGGAAAAGCAATTTTTTAAAAAATGAAAAAAATGTATTAATCCCAATGTTTGATTTTGGAAAAATGGTAGAAGTTATCGACGAAATAAGGCTGAAACTAACTTCTGCAGGTCGAAATCCATAAGAAAATGTCTTTCGTTAAGTTTTGAAAATAGATTGAAAATTGGCCGAAATTTTCATGGAGTACTTAGGGTCCAGAAAAATTTTGATTTTGAAAAAGTTGACAAAAAATTCCTAAAAAATTCAAGTGTATAGACTTCAACGTACTGAGTCCAGAAATATAGCGTGTTTATGGTCCCAGAGCAAGGTTTTTAGAAATACTTGATTTGAAAAGCAACATTTTTTTTTTAATCCAGAAAAACGCATTATTCCAATGGGCGATTCTGGAAAAGTGGTCGGAGTTATCGAAGAAGTTTGGTTGAAAATAACTTCTATAGGTCGAAATCTATAAGAAAATGTCTTTGGTTCAGTTTCGAAAATTGGCCGAAATTTTCCAAAAAATGTACCTTTTGAAAAAGTTACCAAAAAAAAATCCCCAAAAAATTAGGAATAGATTTCGACGTGCTGATTTCAAAAATACACATGTTTACTATGAAAAATTTCAGAAGTATTCGGTTTGAAAACCAATGTTTTTTTAAATGCAAAAAATAATCCAATGTTCGATTTTGGAAAAAAGGACCAAAGTTTTCATGGAGTAGGGTTCAGAAAAATTTTGATTTTGAAAAAGTTGACAAAAAGGTTTTTAGAAATATTCAATTTGAAAAAATATATTTTTTCATCGAGAAAATTGCAATGTTCCAATGAGAGATTTTGGAAAAGACGTTATTAGAGGTTGAGATTTGCTGAATTTTTCCGGAAAATGTTGGTTCTGAAAAAGTTGTCAAAAATTCAGGATATAGATTTGGACGTGCTCAGTTGAAGATATTAGCGGAATAAAGATTATTATTAGAGTAAAAATATTGTGGGAAGAACGTGTTGGATCCTCACAGTATATATTCCGTAGGTTTTGGTCAATTTACAAACGAAACATCATTGGCTTAAACCACCAAGGAATCACAAAACAGATGAACGATGGCGGCGGTATGACCAATACAGTTCCAGTTTTATTGATGTGTTCTTCCCCAAGTATTTCCACTCTACTTGCGTTTCATTAATATATTTCGAAATTTTTTTTTATTATTATTTTTATTCCATATAATTTCACTGAGTGGCTCAAAAACGGGTCATCCAATTCCCCGAAATTATAGAAGTATATTTTTTAATGAGATAATCCTATAATTTCAGTAGTCTTTGTTTAATTAATACTTCCCGAGCGCCAGATAAGCCAATACCAAAACGTCGGTCCCCGTTTCCGTCTGTCTGTCAGCAATTTTTTTAGACATGATTGCACACTTCTTACAAAAAATATTTATTTCAGGAACGCGGTCATGTTATTATTAGTGTCACATTGTATATATGTCGATCAAACTATCGATTGGTTGTAAAAATTGCGTTAAGCCGGCTTTGTTAAATCAACTCCGGAATCGCTCGAATGCAACGTAAGTGGGCTTACCGTATCGTATCAGCGTTTCCCGAGCTCGTTATGCGCACCGCGAAACCGCAATCCGATAAATCTCCTACGCAGAAGGCGGGCAAGGCCGAATTTAAGCCGTTATCACTCTCTCATAAAGGCAACTTTAATAATAATTCCCGATTTATTCTCCGTATCTCTTATCAGTCGTTATCTGTAGCATTATGAGTCAGAGTGTCGTTCTCCTCACTCACCTCCCTCTCTTTTTCCAGTTAACACTCAGCGATGGAAACCAGCATCGACAGTTATCTGCACAAAAAGTTCAAGAAGCAACTCAGCGTCGAGCCCCGAGCCCACCTCCAGGTCCAGCATGAGAGCCCGAGCGGAGTCGTGGAGCCGCGTGAAGAAAAAAGGCCGCCGGAGAGGCAAGCGCAAAAGGACAATAACGAAAGTGTGCCAAACCAGAGTACAAATCAAAACAGTTCTCTCTCATCAACGCGAAACGTTTCCAAGTCTTCCATATCAGTAGAGGAGTGTAGAGCGAATTTACAATCTTCGAACCCGTGCATATCAGTAGAGAAAAGCTGGAGCGACCAGCGGCCCCCAGAGGCCGGCCAGGAACCAGTCACGTCTTCCATTTTAGATTATAGGCAGTACGTAAAAGAGGACGTAGCCTCGAATATCGCCAAGGACCAGGAGGAGGAGCGCGGCGAGCCGCAGCCGCCGCCGGACAAGGGCCCCGCCGGCAAGTACGTCTGCCCCTACTGCAGCCTGGTGTGCTCGAAGCCGAGCGTGCTCCAGAAGCACATCAGGGCGCACACGAACGAGCGACCCTACCCCTGCAACAGCTGCGGCTTCTCCTTCAAGACGAGGTCCAACTTGTACAAGCACTGCAGGTCCAGGACGCACGCGAACAGGGTGATGGGGAACAAGGTGAACGCAATGAGCGCTTGCTATGCGTTGGCGGGTCGAGACGACCTGGTGCGGGCGCGTGGGAGCACGAGTGCGGAAGTGATTGTGCTGTTCCGAGGGAAACGGTGGTACCGACACGACCAAACATACGAAATCAGAGTTGGCTACGATGATATTCACAAGTCTTCGGTGTAGTTTTCTAAATTCTGTGAGCCAGAACCCCCACTACGTAACGTCAGTTCTGATTGATTTATCATATAAATAAATTTTTGTTTTTTAACCCTCATTTTTGATTTCTAGTGGGCTGTATCTAACGAACCGCTTTGAAAATGACATTTAGTCAACTTCAGATACATTTTGAAATGATGCAGCAATGGTACCAACTGTCACAGCTCACAATCCACTGTAAATTAAAAAGTAAATTTCTGAAAAGTTTCATTTGTCACTCATGTGCTTTCATGTTCGTGCGAATTAAGTCGAATTTCAGTGGTTTAACTATCCAACTATCTGATGCCAAATATAGCACTAAACGTAGCCAACTCTGAATCAAAATGTTTCGAGTCGACGGTACTCCACATCGTGTCCACGAAACTTAGGATAATTTAATAAAAAATCAGGAATGCATGGGACAGAAACAGGTCAGTTTATTTTTCAAACAAATTCGAACATTTTTAGTTGAAGTTAAAAATTTGAACACGGGTGAATAATTATAGCTAAAAAATCGCAAAAATTTAAGCTTCTTATAGTTTTGTCACACTGTCTGACGTCACAAGTGTTGACTTGAGTCTGTTGGCAATTCTGGATTTTTAGTTGAAATTGGCATCGTTTTCTGAAATTTCCGGTTGCCAACTGTCAAGATTGACACGTTGTTGACATTCTTAAATTTGCAAAGTGTGTCCAAAACATAACCTAAATTTATCGCATGTCACGATTGACATATCTGTCACAGAATTGCTTTCGTTATACCAACATAAACACAAGAGAAGTTTACATTCTCGTTTAAAAAGTACTGCCAACAAACTCGGTCATTTTTAATCACGCGGTTTATACAGGATGGGTCACTAAGCGCGCAGTCCTCGACATCTCTTAATTATAAAAAAAAAATTATAAACACTATATGAAAATTTTAGCCCATTTATACCAAGCCACGTATTTTTCTTTATCTTTCAACAAAATGTTACAGATTTTAAAAATAACCACGAAGCCCCGCCCACCCACCCTCTCTTTTCTTAGAGAGTATGCCATATACCAAAATTAGTTTTATCTTAACAGGTGCTAACCCCGCCCACCCACCCTCTCTTTTCTTGGAAGGTATATCATTTGCCAAAATCCGTCTTATCTTAGCAGCCACTAGCCCCGCCCACCCACCCTCTCTTTTCTTAGAAGGTACGTGATCTGCCAAAACCAGTTTTACCTTAGCAGATATTAGCCCCGCTCACCCACCCTCGCTTTTCTAAAAGGTTATCTCATTTGCTAAAATCCGTCTTATCGTAAAAAAAAGGTATCTGATTTTGGCAAATGAGATACCTTCTAAGAGAAGAGAGGGTGGGTGGGTGGGGCTAGTATCTGCTAAGATAAAACTGGTTTTGGCAAATCACATACCTTCTAAGAAAGGAGAGGGTGGGTGGGCGGGGCTAGTATCTGCTAAAATAAAACTTGTTTTGGCAAATCACATACCTTCTAAAGAAAGAGAGGGTGGGTGGGCGGGGCTAGTATCAGCTAAGATAAAACTGGTTTTGGCAAATCACATATCCACTAAGAAAAGAGAGGGTGGGTGGGCGGGGCTAGTATCTGCTAAGATAAAACTGGTTTTGGCAAATCACATACCCTCTAAGAAAAGGAGGGTGGGTGGTTGGAGCTAGTAGCTTCTCTTAGAGGGTGTCTCATTTGCCAAAACCAGTCTTATCTTAACAGCTACTAGCCCCGCCCACCCACCCTCTCTTTTCTTAGAGAGTATGCCATTTACCAAAATTAGTTTTATCTTAACAGGTACTAGCCCCGCCCACCCACCCTCTCTTTTCTTGGAAGGTATATCATTTGCCAAAATCCGTCTTATCTTAGCAGCCACTAGCCCCGCCCACCCACCCTCTCTTTTCTTAGAGGGTATGTGATCTGCCAAAACCAGTTTTATCTTAGCAGATACTAGCCCCGCCCACCCACCCTCCCTTTTCTTAAAGGTTATCTCATTTGCTAAAATCCGTCTTATCGTAAAAAAAAGGTATCTGATTTTGGCAAATGAGATACCTTCGAAGAGAAGAGAGGGTGGGTGGGTGGGGCTAGTATCTGCTAAGATAAAACTGGTTTTGGCAAATCACATACCTTCTAAGAAAGGAGAGGGTGGGTGGGCGGGGCTAGTATCTGCTAAAATAAAACTTGTTTTGGCAAATCACATACCTTCTAAAAAAAGAGAGGGTGAGTGGGCGGGGCTAGTATCTGCTAAGATAAAACTGGTTTTGGCAAATCACATATCCACTAAGAAAAGAGAGGGTGGGTGGGCGGGGCTAGTATCTGCTAAGATAAAACTGGTTTTTGCAAATCACATACCCTCTAAAAAAAGACAGGGTGGGTGGGCGGGGCTAGTATCTGCTAAGATAAAACTGGTTTTGGCAAATCACATACCTTCTAAGAAAGGAGAAGGTGGGTGGGAGGGGCTACTATCTGCTAAAATAAAACTTGTTTTGGCAAATCACATACCTTCTAAAAAAAGAGAGCGTGGGTGGGCGGGGCTAGTATCTGCTAAGATAAAACTTGTTTTGGCAAATAACATACCCTCTAAAAAAAGACAGGGTGGGTGGGCGGGGCTAGTATCTGCTAAGGTAAAACTGGTTTTGGCAAATCATATACCTTCTAAGAAAAGAGAGGGTGGGTGGGCGGGGCTAGTAGCTTCTCTTTGAGGGTGGGTGTGTCATTTGCCAAAAACAGTCTTATCTTAACAGTTACTAGCCCCACCCACCCACCCTCTCTTTTCTTAGAGGGTATGTCATTTGCCAAAATCCGTCTTAACAGATACTAGCCCCGCCCACCCCCTCTTTTCAAATTTTGACAAATGAGTAATCCTCTAAGAGAAGAGAGGGTGGGTGGGTGGGGCTAGTATCTGCTAAGATAAAACTGATTTTGGCAAATCACATACCCTCTAAGAAAAGAGCGGGTGGGTGGGCGGGGCTAGTAGCTTCTCTTAGAGGGTATCTCATTGGCTCAAAAACAGTCGTAAGATATCTTCACGCATTAGGTGTGTGGAGTGTTGCCAATTTTACTTGTATAAAATTACGTCTTTTTCGTAATCTACTTCATACCGGAGTGTTAATCCCCCAATTTCCAGACACCCGGTACAGGGCGTTTTATTAAAAAACCAATTTGATTAAAAAGTGGAACACTGTGTATAGTTAAAAATAATTTTAGGGTGTAGTCCTTAAAAAAATGTGCAACTTTGTCGCCGATTTTTTTTTTTATTTTTTTTTTCTATTAATAATAATGATATGGAGGAGCGCTCGCTTAGTGACTCACCCTGTATATATCGGGTGAGTTTTTAAATTTTTGCTCTAGTCACCTACGCAATTGCTGACGTAGTGGGCAGCGAAAAATAAATCAAAAATAAAAAAAAAACAGTATTTTGATTTGATCATTTATTTAACTTAATATACAGGGTGATGAAAAAATTACCTATTTGCACGATGGTAGTTATAAGAACTCGAAAAAAATGGCTAAAAAAACACTTAAACCCATTTTTGAAAATATTAAGTTTCAAAATTGGAGAATTAACTTCGTAATTTTCGTATGTTTTAATGTGAGTTTAATTGAAAGTTTAAAATTCCGATAAAAATTGTCAAAAGTGGCTTATAGCTAATTATTATTAAATTATTAATAACTAATTGTTTAACTGCCTATTAGACAATGTAGTTCATAAGACAAATCAGAATTACCAAGTTAATTCTTCAAATTTGACGTTCAATATTTAAAAAAATTTAGAGCGGACATATTTTTAACCGTTTTTCGAGTTCTTCAAAACCTTCTTAACAACACACCATCGAGCACATACATTTTTTTTCATCACCCTGTATAAGATAAATACTTAAATTTGAACATTAAACTACCATATTTTGGTAGAATAGAAATATTATGAGAATATTAAGCTTTGCACACTTATTTAAACCAAAAATGACAAAATAGAATGACGATTTACTGGTGTGTTCTTCTGATAGTATTTCCACTCTAAACACAAATCCATTCAAAAAATGAACTTACAGCTGCTTTTGTCGAATTGTTTTCCTGATTTTTTTGCAATTTATTCAATGGTTTATGTACACTACATGAAATTTAACGACTGACACTTATTTTTCTTTTCTTTTTTTAATTATTATTTACAATAATGTGAACTCTAAATTTTTAGCCCATTTAACGAAATTTAATTGGTGAAGGTTCCCCGAAAATAGCTGACTGTGGTAATTTGGTTGCTAGGTAAATAAAAAAATTCCAGCGAATCTTTGAAACGTACTTTTTTTGTAAATTAAATTCACAAAATGTTTACAAGAATAGTTTTCGTTTGGACATGTATCGAACTGAGAAATGTGTGTTCGTGGAACCACAACACTTCGACTGTACTTGAATCGCCAATGCTGTTCTTAAAATTTATTTTGTTTGTCACCGCTTTTTAGTTTTTAGTTTTTTTGGCATGGTTGTGACACCTCCACTTTCCACGACTCCAGTCTTTATATACCTACATTTTTTATTTTCTTCTTCCTTCATAGAACCCATAATTTCCAAGTTTATTTTTCTTTCCACGGAGTGATTTTCAAACCTTCAAGTTGGTTTTGGAAAATCTGTCATTAGTGCTATTTTGCTGAAGAAAGTTAGGTTATGTTGACTTTAGTGACGGGTTAGATGATCACAACGAGGCGGCAAAATGGTCAAAATTTCAAAGCCAACTTGCTTGTTCAATCCACCACCGCATTGTCTTTTCCTTCACCCTCTTTCGACTCCCCCGACTAACTCCGTCGCTTCCCCAGGTCCAAGAGATCAACAACGAAATCCCGGACATGTCGGAGGCTCGCAGCCCTCCTCACAACGACCCCGCCGCCCTCGAGGAGCGCGACCGCTCCCTCGACCTAAAAACCAAGCCGTACAAGCCCCGCTTCCACACCAAGCAGTACAAGGAGAACGAAGAGAACAAAGACGAATCCAACAGCAAGCACTCCAACCTCCTCTCCGACCACATCAACGAGATCATCAGCAAGAACAACTCCATCGTGAACTCCGGCGACTACCTCCTCAAGAAGCGCGCCGAGGTCTTCTCCGACAACGAGCAGCAGCGCAACATCACCGACCTGCTCTGCCTCAACGTGGACGAGCCGCTCAACCTCACCAAGAACCGCAAACGCTGCATGAGCGAGGTGGTGGAGCCCGTGGCGCAGAAGAGCCTCATCAAGGAGCTCCTCCTCAAGAACCTCAACTCGGACATGCAGTGTCCGCACTGCAAGATGATCTTCCAGACGGTGACGGAGCTCGAGCTGCACAAACTGCGCAGCTGCAAGGGCTTCGTCAAGCCGGGGGCCAAGTACACGAGGAGCAGCTCGGTCAACGTGGCGTCGATCCTCACGCAGAACAAGAACGCCTTCGACGGGATCCCGCACCTGCAGAACACGGTGTTCCCGCTGAAGTCGCCGGGACCGTTCCTGGGGAAGACGCGTCTGGTGGAGAGCGATAAAGGGAAGTCGTTTTCGTTCGATGATGGCTTGCCGACGGCGTTCCCGTCGGTGACGCCGAACGAGAGGTTCTTGTTGTCGCCGCTGACGCTCCCGAACGACAAGGAGAAGAAGGTGCCGGTGCGCATGTTCGGGGGGGAGGTGAAGATCACGCACACCAGTGGGGAGACGAAGAGCTTCAAGATCGACAACAAGGAGGATAAGTATGAGGGGATGGTGGAGTATAGTGGGAAAGTGAGCGAGAATAGGGTGGTGAAGTCGGGGTTGCAATCAGGTGGTACCATGTTAACGAACAAAGCTAATTATCCTAAGGAGGATATGAGGGGGGGACAGGACGTCATTCGGGTGTACGACAACACCCCCGTTTCACCTAGTATAGACATCGCGAACTTGCCTAAGCCCCAGATCACCCTCGGTCGTACCGACCTCTACCGGAACGACCTGGTGGTACGAACCCAAGTGGAGCAATCAGTCACTTCCAGCTACAAATACACTAACATTATGGACTTCAGCCAGAAGGCGGTGAAACTCCTCACTCCTAATCTAAAACAACCAAACCTCGCAGTACCCGGAGTACCCGCCCCCACGAAGTTCGCCTTCCCTCCTTTCGACGACAAAGTCATCGACTTGGAGAAACCCAAAGACCCGGAACCGCAGAACCTGAAGGTCTTCCAGAAAGTACTAACCTCCCCTTCCAACCTCTGCAACCCCATGAAACTCCTAGTCAACGGAAAAGTGGTACGCTACGTACCCGGCATCCCGGGCCCCGTAGCCGCCGAAGAACCCCTCGACATGGCTTACACCCCCGCCATCGTCGCCACGCGCCAAGTTCCTCGCCCCATCCCCAAACCCGAACCCAAGGCACCGCCCCCCAAAATGGAAACCCTCGAGATCAAGACCGACTTCTCCTTCAAGCCGGCCGAACTCAAGTCGCCCGAGAAGTCGCCCGTCAAGGTCTCGGACAAGCCCTCCAGCTTCAACGAGCCCAAGAAGTTCGCCAGACCCAACAGTCTGGCGCTCAAACCCACCACGGCGTCGTTGAAGCAGCACCACGGGCTGACCCCCACGATGTTCAACCAGATCTTGATCAGCCCGGACACCCCGCGCGTCGCCAAGAAGTACGTCCAGCAGTTCCTCCACGGGAACTACTTCAGCTACCTGGGGTTGAAGAGCTCGACGAAGCCGGTGTACTGCACCTTGAATAAAACGCAGCCGTTCTACGTGCCGCACTTCAAGAAATTGAGCATGTACTCGGAGTGGCGGCAGCAGGACACCAAGACGGAGAAGATCTTCGTGAGCGGGTACGACTCGAGGCAGAGGCACGGCAGGTACACGACGGCGGGGAAGGCGACGGCGGATCTGGTGGTGCACTCGAGCTACAAGGTAAGGGGGGCGAATACGGAACAATCACATTCATTCGAATATTGTTGGTAGGTTATGTCATTCCAAAAGTGGGGTTAGGAATCATCCAACATTTTACATAAAACTTTGACAACTATTTGACTTTTTAGGCCCAAAATTTGTGTTTTAGGAAACTTTTGAAATTACGAACTATGTTACTTACCCGTTATTTGATTAATAAAGTCGAAAAGTGGTAAATTAGCTTGAAATAAATCTCAGGATAGACCAACTCAGTTTGTCCAACATGAAGAAAAAATATCAATGCCCACTTTACTCTAAAGAGCACTGAATAGTTTAGGGATATTTTCTATTACGGCTAGAAAAAAATTTTAAGTGACAGTTTGTGAGCTTTGAAAAATATCTGGCGCTGCAATTATAATCCATATAACACTAAAAACGTGGAAAACCCTTGGAGGGTCTCCATTATATCTTTCTTGCATTGGTAAGAGTGACGATGTTCAGACAAATTTTGGTTAGTGTTTTACCAGAGAACATAGAGAAGCGTCATTGTTTAAATTAAAAGACGGTTGAGGACCCTCGACTTACGTTGGCAACAGTGTTTGTTTCTAACTAGTTTTTCTCTTCAATTTTACGATTTTGAAATATTTCGATTTTTCAGTTGACTTTTATAAACTCTTTATTTGTTGATTTTTCAGGTTTTTTGGTTTTTCAATTTTTCAATTTTTTCAGGTTTCGATTTTTCAACTTCACTTTTTTGATTTTTCGATTTCTCAATTTTTCAATTTTTTAATTTCTCAGTTTTTGGACATTCCAATTTTGGGATTTTTCAGTTTACTTATTATTCAATTTTTCGATCTTACGATTTTGCAGGTTTTTGATTTTTCAATTTTTCGATTTTTTTAAGGTTTCGATATTTCGTCTTCACTTTTTTTTCGATTTCTCGATTTTTCATTTCAGCTCTTCCATATTTCAATTTTTCAAAAATTTCGATTTCTTAATTTTTTTATTTTTCGACTTCCCGGTTTTAGATTTTCTGTTTTTCAGTTGCCGTTTTTTCAATTTTTCGATTTTAAAATTTTAAATTTTTCAGTTTTTTGATATTTTAATTTTTTTAATGTTTAAAATTTTAGATTTTTCGATTTCTCGATTTTTTATTTCAGTTCTTCGATATTTCCGTTTTTCATCTTTTCGAATTTTTCAAATGTTTTGATTTCTTAATCTATCGAGTTTTCGACTTCCCGGTTTTAGATTTTTTGTTTTTCAATTGCCGTTTTTTCAAATTTTCGATTTTTCAATTTTTCAAATTTGACTTTCATAAACTTTCAATTTTTCGATTTTACAATTAATCGATGTTTTGATTTTCCCATTTCTTGACTTTCGAGGGTTTTGATATTCCTGTTCTTCAGTTCTTTAATTTTTCGATTTTTCATTTTTTAGTTTTTTTAAGGGTTCGATTTTTCGACTTCACTTTTTGGATTTTTCGATTGCTCAATTTTTCGACTTTTTAGGTTCTCAGTTTTCGGCTTTTCAGGTTTTCCATTTTTCAGTTTTTCTTTCATTTTTCAGTTTTTCGATATCTCAGTTTTGGGATTTTACAATATTTCGATTTTTCGATTTTTGACTCCTGGATTTTCCGATGTGTTGATTATTTTACTTTTTCGATTTTTCAATCTTTCGATTTTTAAATTTTATATTTTTTAATTTTAAAATTTTAGATTTTTCGATTTCTCGATTTTTCAGTTCAGTTCTTCGATGTTTGAATTTTTCAAGTTTTCGAATTTTTCAAATGTTTCGATTTCTTAATCTTTTGATTTTTCGACTTCCCGGTTTTAGATTTTCTGTTTTTCAATTGTCATTTTGTTAAATTTTCGATATTTTAATTTTTCAAATTTGACTTTCATAAACTCTCAATTTTTCGATTTTTCTATAAATCGATGTTTTGATTTTTCCATTTCTTGACCTTCGAGTGTTTCAATTTTCCTGTTCTTCAGTTCTTTAATTTTTTGATTTTTCAATTTTTCGATTCTTTAGGTTCTCAGTTTTTGGATATTTCAGTTTTGAGATTTTTCAGTTTTGGGATTTTTCAATATTTCTGTTCTTCACTTTTTCATTTTTTGACTTCTGGATGTTTCGATGTGTCGACTTTTTACTTTTTCGATTTTTAAATTTTAGATTTCTCAATTTTTTGGTATTTTAATTTTTCAATATTTAAAATTTTAGGTTTTTCGATTTCGCGATTTTTCATTTCGGCTCTTCCATATTTCAATTTTTCAAAAATTTCGATTTCTTAATTTTTCGATTTCTCGACTTGCCTGTTTTAGATTTTCTGTTTTTTAGTTGCCGTTTTTTCAATTTTTCCATTTTTAAATTTTAAATTTTAGATTTTTCGATATCTCGATTTTTCATTTCAGTTCTTCGATATTTGAGTTTTTCAAGTTTTCGAATTTTTCAAATGTTTTGATTTCTTAAACTATCGATTTTTCGACTTCCCGGTTTTAGATTTTCTGTTTTTCAGTTGTCGTTTTTTCAATATTTCGACTTTTCGATTTTTGACCCCTGGATTTTTCGATGTGTTGATTATTTTACTTTTTCGATTTTTCAATCTTTCGATTTTTAAATTTTATATTTTTTAATTTTAAAATTTTAGATTTTTCGATTTCTCGATTTTTCAGTTCAGTTCTTCGATGTTTGAATTTTTCAAGTTTTCGAATTTTTCAAATGTTTCGATTTCTTAATCTTGATTTTTCGACTTCCCGGTTTTAGATTTTCTGTTTTTCAATTGCCATTTTGTTAAATGTTCGATATTTTAATTTTTCAAATTTGACTTTCATAAACTCTCAATTTTTCGATTTTTCTATAAATCAATGTTTTGATTTTTCCATTTCTTGACCTTCGAGTGTTTCGATTTTCCTGTTCTGCAATTCTTTAATTTTTGATTTTTCAATTTTTCGATTTTTTAAGATTTCGATTTTTCGACTTCACTTTTTGGATTTTTCGATTGCTGAATTTTTCGACTTTGTAGGTTCTCAGTTTTTGGATATTTCAGTTTTCGGATTTTTCAGGTTTTCCATTTTTCAGTTTTTCTTTCATTTTTCAGTTGTTCGATATCTCAGTTTTGCGACTTTTCAATATTTCGATTTTTGACTCCTGGATTTTTCGATGTGTCGATTATTTTACTTTTTCGATTTTAAAATTTTATATTTCTTAATTTTAAAATTTCAGATTTTTCGATTTCTCGATTTTTCAGTTCAGTTCTTCGATGTTTGAATTTTTCAAGTTTTCGAATTTTTCAAATGTTTCCATTTCTTAATCTTTTGATTTTTCGACTTCCCGGTTTTAGATTTTCTGTTTTTCAATTGTCATTTTGTCAAAATTTCAATTTTTAAATTTTCAAATTTGACTTTCATAAACTCAATTTTTCGATTTTTCAATTAATTTTTCAGGTTTTTGATTTTTCAATTTTTCGATTTTCTAAGGTTTCTATTTTTCGACTTCACTTTTTTGATTTTTCGATTTTTCAGTTTTTAGATATTTCAGTTTTAGGATTTTTCAATATTACAATTCTTCGGCTTTTCTATTTTTGACTTCTGGATTTTTCGATTACCTTTTTATTTTTTCGATTTTTCAATTTTTGATTGTTAAATTTGTAATTTTTCGATCTTTTGATATTTTAATTTTTCAATATTTCTTAATCTTTCGATTTTTGGACTTCCTGTTTTTCAATTTTTCGAATTGTTAATTTTTCATTCCCGATTTATCGAGATTTGATTGTTCAGGTTTTCGATCTATCAGTTTTTCAATTTTTATTTTGGCATATTTCGGTATCTCAGTTTTTCCAGTTTTCCATTTTTTCGTTTTTTGATTTTTCCGCTTTTCCAATTTTTCAACTTTTAACTTTTTGTTGTCGATTTCTCTATTTTTCGATTTTTCGACTTGATCACTTTTCGATTTCTCGTTCTTTTGATCTTTCAATCTCTCAATTTTTCAAGTTTTCGAATTTTTAAGTTTTTTGATTTATCGATTTATCGAGATTTGGATTTTTCAATATTTTGATTGTCAATTGCTCAATTTATAAATTGTTGAATTTTTAACTTTTCGATTTTTCGTTATTATCCATTGGGTTATTACGATTTCAACAATATTCGTAGTTTAAGACGTTTTGCAAGTATAAAACATAAATAAAGAATTAATTCTTGGTTAAACAAAATATGTAAAACCATCTAAATATGTACCAAAAATATTCACTTAGTCGTTATAAAAAGACGAGTTGTAGTGAAACAAGTTTTTTATTCCAAATTTTGAGTTTTTTTAAATCTGGGGAATTTTGCCAAACAAATCTCGTCAACTTTATTTTGGCGTTTATTTACTTTATTTAATTTGACATTTGCCATTGACGTTTCTCGTCATGGCTACCAACCGTACCGATCTAAATTACACCAGACCTATTTCAGAACCCCTTTCCGCTATTAACGAACCGCTTTGACGTCATTTGGGTGCTTTAATAGCCTATTACAAAATCAAGGTAGAAAAAACATTTAAAATTTCACACCAATCAGCTCACTAGTCGTAAACGGGACCTACTTTTTCGTGCTTTAGCGTTACGAAACGTCGAGAAAACCTTGTCATATATATCGCGTTTCCTCCGTTCAACAGGTGGTGCTTCCCATCTCCCGACTCTCCTATTCAAACCGCGCATTTAAAATATCCCGTTTTATTGGTTCCAAGTCCAACGTTACGCGTTTCCGGTTGTTATTTGTGTACTTGTTATTCGCAGCCATTGACGTAACAATAATTTGCGAATTAATGAGGCCGCGCTTTTTCAGTTTGTGGTTTCGGAATCGTCGATCAACGGGGAAAAAAACGACGACCAGCAAAAACCCAGCACCATCTTGGGCGGCTACGAGTGCAACGACGACTACACCTACGTCAGAGGAAGAGGTGGGTGGAGGCGCTTAGAGGGTTTTCATGACACGCTTTTTCAGGGAGAGGGCGCTACGTGTGCGACCAGTGCGGGATCAGGTGCAAGAAGCCCTCGATGCTGAAGAAACATATCAGGACCCATAGCAACGACAGGCCCTACACCTGCAACCATTGTAACTTTAGGTGGGTGCGCGTCCCAGATTTTACCGATTTTAATGTTCTGTTTGTGGGGGGTTTAGTTTCAAGACGAAGGGCAACCTGACGAAGCACATGAAGAGCAAAGCCCACACGAAGAACTACGCCGCCAGCGGCTCTGGGTCGTCCACCCAGCAGAGCGGCACGCAGAGTTCTGAGTCAGATACCGAGGATAGCGGAATGGACAGTAGTGGTGAGTTGATGTTGGGTATTTTTAGTTTTTACATTCAAGCATTGTTTGTTGTGTGTTTAAAAGTGTAATAATGTGGAAATGAGCCAACTTCTGACGACTTTGGAAATTACGTCGTGGGCTTTATTGCCCGGCTATCTATCATTTCAGTTTTTGTTGGCGTTAAGTCCGGGGAGTTTTATTGACGAGAGAAAGATGCTGGGATTGACGAGGAGATAAAAGCGGAATGGAGACGTTAACGCCGGGGTTTAATTAGTTTAGTTGTGTAATGGCGTATTTATTGTTGTAATGACAGCGAAATAAAACAAAGTGGCAGATTTGGCGATAGATGGAGGTGGCGTAAAATGATGCAAAGTCCGACGAAAGAGGAAACATACGAAATATGCTTGCTTATGTTTCTTATTTTTACTCCCATAGAGATAACAAAACAACAAAGGTGTAAAGATTTTCGTTTATTTCGCCAAGGAAATAACGCACGTAAATGTAAATATTTTCATGTTTTTCAAAGGAAGCAGTTAAAATTTTGTTGTTCATTTAAGTATTTAGCTTTGTCAACAGTAACGTTTTTTGTGCGAATCGTCCGTCGAATGAAGAAGTACAAAAATTTAATTTAATAATAATTTTGGTAGAGTTTTCACAGTCTTTTTTGTAATATTTATAAGTAACGATAGGAAAATCTATACATGTTTAAATCATATTTTTGCGGCAGAATATTTTGGTTAAAAAAAATCTTTAACAGGTCGATTATTTGAAAAGTTTGAAAGAATCTCAAGGATCGGTTTGCTTTATCTTTAAAAATAAATGAATACAGGTCGGCTCGCTTGTTGAAATAATCTTGGCAACCCCCGGTGGTTTATTTTAAGATAATTTGAAAAAATCTTCGGGATCCCCGGTGTTTTGTTTTGAAAGAATTTTAAAGATCTTGGGAGAGTGAGGGGCTTCGTGTTCTATTTTTTGAGGAATGTCCTAGAGTCTTCGGGGTTTCTGCTGTTTGGTTTTTGAAAGAATTTGAAAGAATCTCAGGACCTCGGCTGAAAGGAATTCCAGGTCTTTTATTATCAAAAGAATTTTAAAATTTTGAAGAATCTCGGGGGTCTCTTGGACGAATTTGTAAGAAATTCAGGCATCCCGGGTGTTTGATTTTTGGAAATTTTTAAAGGAATTTCAGGAGTCTTCGATGTTTTAATTATTACAACAATTTTGGAACTTGGGGGTTGCTGGTGTTTCGTTTTTGAAAAGATCTTTGGAAGCGGTTTTTTAGAATGAAGGATTCCCCTAGTGACCCTTTTAAACGGATAAGAAAGAATCTCAGGAGCTTGTAGTGTTTTATTTTTTGAAGAATTTGAAGGAATTTTAGGGTCTACTGAGGTTTGATCTTTGAAGAAAAAAAAATGAAGACTCAGATCTCCAATGTTTTGCTTTTGAAAGAATCTCAAGACCTGCTGGTTTATCTTTTTTGAGAAAAAATTTAAGCAATTTCGGGGGTCGGTTGGCAGAATTTGTAAGGATCTCAGGCTCCCTGGTGTTTGGTTTTTGATTTTTTTTTTAAGAAATTTTAGGGGTTCCAAGTGGTTTGTTATTAAAAGAATTTTAAAGGATCTTGGAAGCCGTTGGAGTTTTGTTTTAGAAAAAAGTTTGAAACGACTTTTTAACGGCATTTGTTTTTTTTGTAAGAATTTGTAAGAATCTCAGGGTTCCCTGGTGTTTGATTTTTGAAAATTGTTGAAGAAATTTGTGGGCCAAGCATTTTATTATTAAAAGAATTTTAAAGAATCTTGAGAGTCGTTGGAGTTTTGTTTTAGAAAAAAGTTTGAAACAATCTTTGGACGGCTTTTTTTTTTAATCGTAGAATTTGAAAAATCACGGAGCCGCCTGATGTTTGATTTTTGAAAAAAATTTTGAAGACTGGGTTCTCGAGTGTGTTGTTTTTGAAGAGTCGCTGGTTTATATTTTTTGAAAAAGACTCCGGGGTTTTTCGGAAGAATTTGTAAGAATCTCAGGGATCCCAGATGTTTGATTTTTGAAAATTGTTTAAGAAATCTCAAGCTTTTTATTATTATAAGAATTTTAAAGAATCTTGGGAGCCGTTAGTTTTGTTTTAGAAAAAAGTTTGAAACAATCTTTAGAGGCGTTTGTTTTCTTGTTTAATGGTAGAATTTGAAAAAATCTCGTAGCCGCCTGATGTTTGATTTTTGAGAAAAATTTTGAAAACTGGGTTCTCCAGTGTGTTGTTTTTGAAAGATTCTCAACAACCGCTGGTCTATATTTTTTGAAAAAAATTTGAAGAATCCGGGGTTTTTTGGAAAAATTTGTAACAACCTCAGAGATCCCCAGGTGTTTGATTTTTGAAAATTTAAAAACTTACATAAAAATTGAAAAATCCCACTCGAATAGTTGAAGAACGAAAAATTGAAAAATTGAGAAACTAAAGAAATTGAAATTCAAAAAGAAATTCAAAAGTTGAAAAAAGGGAAAATAGTAAAATCGAGAATTTGAATAATCGGAACATTTTAAAAATTGAAAAATTCGAAGATCAAAACATTGAATAATTGAGAAATTGAAAAAAATGCGCAAATCGAAGAGTTGAAGAAACGGTATATTGAAAAAAAAAACGAAAGGTGAAAAAACGAAAAATAGTAAAATGGAAAATTCAAAAAACAAAAATTCTAAAATTGAGAAATTGAAAAAGCAAAAAATTGAAAAATTGAACAGTTGAAAATTAGAAAATTTAAAAACGAAAAATTGAAATCGATCAACGAAAAAATTTTAAATTGAAATGAATGATTAGTATTTCTAAAAATTGAAAAATCGAAAAAATACCAATCGAACAGTTGAAAAGCGAAAATTTGAAAAATCGAGAAACTGAAGAAATTCAAAAGTTGAAAAAGTGAGAGAAACAAAAAATAATAAAATCAAAAATTGAAGAAAGGAAAAATTTTAAAATAGAAAAATCGAAAAATTGAAATATCAAAGCATTGAAAAATTGAAAAAATGCAAATCGAATGGTTGAAGAAACGAAAACATTGAAAAAAATATCAAAAAGTGAAAAAACCAAAATTTGTAAAATCAAAAATTCAAAAAAAGAAAAATTGTAAAAGCAAAAAATTGGAAAATCGAAAAATTGAAACATTTCAAAGTTGAAATCGATCAACGAAAAAAAGTTTAAATCAAAACCTCGAGATTTTAAAATTTTGAAAAATTGAAAAATCGAGGAATTGAAAAATCAAAAAATTTTAATATTCAAAAGTTGCAAAAGTGAAAAGAATGACATTGTAAAATCGAAAAATTGAAAAGTCGCAACTTTGAGAAAACAAAAAATTAATTGAAAAGTTGAAAAATCGAGAAATTAAAGAAACGAAAAATTTTAAAATTGGGGAACTGATTGAGAAAACAAAAATTGAATAATTGAAAAATTCAAAAGTTGAAAATATAAAGATTCCAAGGTAGGAAATTCAGAAATTGAATAAACGAAAAAATAAAAAATTGAATAATTAAAAATCGAGAATCACAACAACTGAAAGAACGAAAACTTAAAATATCCAAAAAAAATAGCAAATCGAAAAGTTGAGGAAACGAAACATTAGAGAATCGAAACATTTAAAATCGAATTTCGAAAAATTCATTTATTGAAAAATTAAATGTTGAATCAATCAACGAAAAAATTTAAAATTGAAATGAAAACTCGAAAAATTAAAGTACCTAGAAATAGTAAAATCGAAAAATTGAAGAAATGAAAATTTTAACAACCGGCAAATCAAAACTCGCAAAGCAGAAATTAAAATGACAATAAAAAAAAATTAAAATATCTAAAAATTGAAAAATTCAAACACTAAAAATTTTAAATTGAAAACTCGAACATTGAAGAAACGAAAAATTTTTTTTTAAGAAATCTCAAGCTTTTTATTATTATGAGAATTTTAAAGGATCTTGGAAGCCGTTGAAGTTTTGTTTTAGGAAAAAGTTTGAAACGACCTTTGAACGGCATTTAGTTCTTTTTTAGTGGCAAAATTTGAAAGAATCTCGGGGCCTCCTGATGTTTGATTTTTGAGAAAAATTTTGAGGATTCTGGGGTCTCCAGTGTGTTGTTTTTGAAAGATTCTCAAGAGCCGCTGGTCTATATTTGTTGAGAAAAATTTGAAGACTCCGGGGTTTTTTGGAAAAATTTGTAAGAATCTCAGAGATCCCCAGGTGTTTGATTTTTGAAAATTGTATAAGAAATCTCAAGCATTTTATTATTAAAAGAATTTTGAAGGATGTGGAGAGCCGTTGGAGTTTTGTTTTAGAAAAAAGTTTGAAACAATTTTTGGACGGCGTTTGTTTTTTTTTTAATGTTAGAATTTGGAAAAATCTCAGGGCCTCCTGATGTTTGATTTTTGAGAAAAATTTTGAAGATTCTGGTGTCTCCAGTGTGATGTTTTTAAAAGATTCTCAAGAGCCGCTGGTCTGTATTTTTTGAGAAAAATTTGAACACTCCGGGGTTTTTTGGAAAAATTTGTAAGAATCTCAGAGATCCCCAGGTGTTTGATTTTTGAAAATTGTATAAGAAATCTCAAGCATTTTATTATTAAAAGAATTTTAAAGGATGTTGAGAGCCGTTGGAGTTTTGTTTTAGAAAAAAGTTTGAAACAATCTTTGGACGGCGTTTGTTTTTTTTTTTTTAATGGTAGAATTTGGAAAAATCTCGGGGCCTCCTGATGTTTGATTTTTGAGAAAAATTTTGAAGATTCTGGTGTCTCCAGTGTGTTGCTTTTAAAAGATTCTCAAAAGCCGCTGGTGTATATTTTTTGAGAAAAATTTGAAGACTCCGGGATTTTTTGGAAAAATTTGTAAGAATCTCAGAGATCCCCAGGTGTTTGATTTTTGAAAATTGTATAAGAAATCTCACGCATTTTATTATTAAAAGAATTTTAAAGGATATTGAGACCGTTGGAGTTTTGTTTTAAAAAAAAGTTTGAAACAATCTTTGGACGGCGTTTGTTTTTTTTTAATGGTAGAATTTGAAA